CATTCTAGAATCTAAAAGATTTAAGTGGTCTTCAGGAAATCTATTCTTCTTGGCAAAACTTCATTTAGAAGACAGATTTATAGCTCATGCTGCATGTTCCCATCCATACTTATTCACACCAGAATACATGTCTTTTGAGAAAATAAAGAGTTCCACTGGTATAAAAACACCCTCAAGAATGTTAGGCCAAGGATTGATGCAATGAAATTATAGTCTTATCTCAGTTTTATTCATTTCTAAAGAGAAACAAATAACTTAGAGACAATTCGTCATCATATTCTCTTGGTACTAGAATATAGACTTTATAGAATATATGATTTAGAATGAGAATAACAGTTTTTAAATAAATGCTAAGATTAGAACAAAAAGGATAATAAGAATACAACTGCTTTTTCAATAAGAAAGTCTGAAAATGAAAAGTATGACCTCTAAGAAATTGTAACCATAATAGATTGAAAGTTTCCTCTTCAGGCTCTTTCAAAATCCATTTTTATACATGAAATGAAAAATGTAAGTAATGGAAAGTCATAACCATTTGCTCATTCAAGTCATCTGAAGTTAGACTAGATTACACCTGGATATGAAACTACTAAACTAAGACTACCTTGAGGACACCAAGAACCACAGAGAGCTTGGTCGGCACCAATGGCTCACACCTATAATCCTACCTACTTAGAAGGCTGTGATTTGAGAATCATGGCTTGAAGCTAGATGGTGCAGAAAATCCCTGAGACTTTTGTCTTCAATTAAGCACCCAAAAAGCCAGGAGTGGAATGTGGCTCAAGTGACAGAGTGCCAGCCTGGAGCAAAAAAGCTCAGGAGCAGCACCTGAGCCCAGATTTCAAGCCCCAGGACTCACACCAACAAAGAGACAAACAACCCTAAGTTCTAGATATGTATTATTACAGCATTATTTTAAGTTTAATGGCTATTTAGATTCTTATAAAACAAATTTTATAAATAATTATTTCTAATTCACAGAATTAGGATGGTCTCTGCTACTGGGAAAAATCTGATGAAATACCGTGGTGGAAAATAGGTTTAAAAATCCAATTAACTATTTGGATATCTAAAAACATGTAGTTACTTAATAAGATGGTGAATGAGTTCTTATAGATGATATGCACATTGAATTTCTCTAGCATTTTAAATATAGATATATAAATATAAGTGCAAATATATGCACATATATGTTTATATTTGTATTAGTTATATATATAATGTTTACATTTTATTTATGTTTATACTACATAAACATAAACACATATATTCTATATAAATATATGTACGTGTCACATATATATGTTTATATAGTAGATACCTCTTAAAATTCACTCATTAGGTACTGTGCTAATAATTTAACATTGCATGCTTCTACATATCAAAAATTTACTTCAGTGCTTTATGTATATCATTTCAAATCACATTTGAGTGCACAAAAATCTTGCCACTATAGTCTTGCTCATTTTATAAGACAAGTAAGAAGAGTCTAGGAAAATTAGTCAGTCAGTCTGTACTCTCAATATGGAGGGTGTGCTCTAGGTGAACTGACAGCCAAGGCTGGGCTGTCTCCAGCTGAACCACAAGAAGTGGGAGACCCTTCATTCATGAATTTGGGAGACTCTTCTTTTTCCTTGAACTTCCAAGTTCTTATCTGTGCTGTTTGCAGTACCTGTTCATATATCTCTTTTGCACTAGTGACTGTTAGAAATCCTACTTATTTAATACTCTTATCACTCCTAATAAATTTACTACCACTCAGAAGAACCCTTGGAGGGATGTGAACTTGTGACGACTACCAGACTTGTCTCAAATCCTCCCCCATCCTTAGTGGATCTCTTGCAAATTGCTGAGTATATTTTGAATTTCTCTCTGTCTCTGTCTCTGTCTGTCTGTCTGTCTGTCTGTCTCTCTCTCTCTCTCTCTCTCTATATATATATACATATGCTTTGTATAAAAAACAACAACAAAAGCACCTAGTACATCATAAGAGAAACCAAAGCATGAAATAGAGTATTTACATTCCAGAGTGTTTTATGATGATTTGTGCCATGATCCTGGGCATCGGTATCATTTGTGACTTGGCTTATCATAGTTTCTTGTATAAATTCTTACTGCTTACAGATGGTTTCTGGGATTCCATTTAAATAACTGCTATTTGGAGTGACATTAATCAGCTAATGTAACTTATGTTCTTGATGTATGTGTGTGTGTGTGCGCACATGCGCACATGCATACCAGTCCTGGGGTTTAATTCAGGGCCTGGGAGCTATCCCTGAGTTTTGTTGCTCAAGGCTAGCACTCTGCCATTTGATCTATAGCTCCACTCTTGGCTTGTTTGGTAGTTTAGTGGAGATAAGAGTCTTCTGGGCTTTCCTGCCCTGGCTTATTTAGAACAATGATCCTCAAATTTCAGCCTCCTGAGTAGGATTATATCACAGGTATGAGCCATTCATGTCCAGCATGCTCTTGATTTTTTTTTGTTGGTTGTGGGGCTTGAACTCAGGGCCTGGGCGCTGTCCACTGTCCTTCAGCTCTTCAGCTCAAGGCAAGCACTCTATCACTTCAGCCACAGTGCCACTTCCAGATTTTTTTTTTCAATGTGGTACTGAGGAAATGAACCCAGGGCTTCATGCATGCAAGGCAAGCACTCTACCGCTAAGCCACATTCCCAGCCCAATGCTTTGATTTTTAACATTCATATATCTGAGTCAAGGATTCAGAATGGTTTGGGTGATTATGTTGACTGACCTTTCCTAAACAGGCTAAGTGTTCTTGCCGCACACATGAAATTACCTGAGGGTGAAGAAGTGACTTCACAAAGCTCAGTTTATGCTGTATCTTTTCCCTATTTTGGTGCAGTTGCTAACAAATTTCTTCCATCAATATACCTATGCTTCTGTTGTTTGTTTCAGTGCACAGCTTCTCTGGAGCCTCAGGCTGGGCACTTCCAGATGTCAGCAGGTGTTAGCACTGCACATTCATTTTTGTTTCTTCACTTTCCTTGAGTGGCCTGTATCTCTCAGAGGTGAGTCTAGGTGACTTTGCATAGAACTCTGTGTGTGTGTGTGTGTGTGTGTGTGTGTGAATGTGAATGTATACATATATTTGCAAAATAAGACAACTATGGCTATTATTTTTCTTTCTTGCAGGCAAACTTCTTTAGATTCCTCATAGTGCTGCATGTAATGTTTCCAACTTGCTTCTGATCAGAGGGATGTAAATTTTTTCAAAACTAGATAGTCATATCTCTAATCTACAGAAATGGAAACACATTTGGAGAGAAGAAGGATACTGTATTTCAAATGCAATGCAAATATCCTAATGGTGTTTTTTAGTGAAGATTTCTAAGTTTGTTTTCTGTAATGTTTGGTCCTATTTTAGATATGTATGTGTGTGCATATGATATCAACATATTCTTCTATGAGATCCTTTTCTGGTTTACGATAAAAAATGTTTTGTTGTATGTGTAATCTTTCTCATGAAGTTTGGATTGTGCCAAGCAGGGAAGCCATGTACATAAATACACTGACAAAGGCCTGACAAAATGTTCAAATAACAGGTATACAGACTAGTCCAACTTGTGTCTGTTATGAAATTTACTTTCATGTGCAAAAGTCTTTGCTAATATTAATAAGTAATTTTTATTGTTTTACAATCATGGATTAAATGGATGGCCAGTTTTCAAAGGTCCTTGTCAAAAGGGCAAGAAACTACATAACAACATATTAGGCTGCTTGTTTACCACTGTTAGTTATGATTATTTGGACAAAACTGCAGCTTCTCTTTCACATTCCTTTAGAATCAAAACACCATTTCTCAGAAAATGAAGCAAACCATTATATGAGAATGCTATAGAATTATGAAATATTGTATAGAAGCACATGGTAATGTTATTACTGATTTTTATGAAGAACATATTTGCCAGAGGGAAGAAACATTATATTGTTTGAAAATTGCCAGACCATTATTTAGTAATCATCATGTAGGCTGGATTGGTCAGGTGAATTGCACTGTTTTATTTTGATTGATCTATTGTCCCCACATATATTGTTTGCAAAAATAGTCCCATTTTGAGTTTCTATTGTATTATACTATAGCATTTCATAGGGTATTCAACAGAGATATGATACTAATTCATGTTGTAAGTAGCTTGTGATAGATTCTTTCTTGTCTTTTAAAAATAAATTTCCATGCTTTGATTTTACTCATTCACAAGTAATTTTTCATATTTGCATCACTTGGATTATAAAGAACCATTATGAAGTTACACTTTTATACAATAAGAAGTCTTGAATATTTTGTAACTAACAATTCTTGAGAACATCCCAAGCAACTGGAAGAAATCAGTTTAATATTTAAAAAATGTATAAAAGTAACAGGATTTGAGTGGCCATCTAGCATATATTATATAGAACTAAATTAAAATTAAAAATTGTACATTTCAAGAGAAACATAAGACATCATCTCTAAGAACATAGTAAATTTTTCTACATTCCAGCTCTGTGTTTATATTTACTAAATAAATTTAAAAGGTCACATTAGTGTATTATTATTTTTTTTTTTTGCTGGTGGTGGGGCCTGAACTCAGCCTGGGCACTGTCTCTGAGCTCTTCAGCTCAAGGCAAGCACTCTATCACTTGAGCCACAGCACCACTTGTGGCTTTTTCTGCTTATGTGGTGTTGAGGAATCAAATCCAGGGCCTCATGCATGCAAAGCATGCATTCTACCACTGAGCCACCTTCCCAGCTCCATCATTAGTATATTTCTTTATGTTGATCCCAAAGAATAAATAATGGGTCATTACTTCCTCCTATCTCACAGGCCTTATGCCTGACATCAGCATAAAACTCCTTGACCAAATTGACCTGTGTAATTTAGGAAAGTATTTACTGCCCCAGAAAATCAACATTGGACATCCAAATAGAATTAATTGAGCTTTCTTTCTATTCAGAAGCCTTCTGAGTATAAATAGACTGAGTTTCTCGATGGTTCTTACCTGCAGTGCACAACCATGGGTCCTGCATCAGGAGGGTTACAGGTTTTGACTCTCCGTAAGAAAGCTAAGAAAGGCGTGGGGTGCTCTGGAACGCCATGGTCAGGCCAGGCGGTGAACTGGAATTGTCTCACTTCTCTCTTCTCACTTGAGCCATTCTGTGACACAGGAATAGAGACAAAGTCTGTGTTCCTTACCTCAGATGAGAACGATAGAAGGGGTAACCCCAAAAGGTGCTATGTGAACATCTTCTTCCCTGGTATCTTTGAGGAGACACGATCTTTGGGAAGACAAACCCAAAGCAAGTCTGAAGTAACCAGCATTTTTCCCCAGAAGATAAAATTCTTAGGTGTGAAGCATTCCCTTGTTCAGGTTTAACTATCAGGGGCATTCCTGCTCTCTATTTTTTTTCCCCAGAAAGAACTAGTTCTTCTTCATCTATTCTTCATTTGCTGAAACTTGTGTTCAGAGTACAAGTTTCATATCTGCTGATAAATCACCAGACTAGGAGAAAAATGGTTGGGTCATCATGGGAAGAATTATTTCCTTCTTCACTGTTTCCAACAGGATCAAGATTTAAGTGAAGGCTTAAAAGGTTTGATTTCTCAAAAGGAGTGTTCTTTAAATAATGTACAGGGAAAGAAAAGAGAAAACAAAGACAAAAGGCAAACCTTGTAAAGTGCAAATGTTCGAACACAATATGTGGCCAGCTCCACTGTATCTAGCAGTGTCACTTGGACCAGTCCATGGGTCTCTGTGCCTCGGCTGGGCCAATATTGGTCACACTTCACCTACAAGAAACAAGTGACACATTAAAGTCAGCTGTTTGTCAATCTTTATAGTAGCTTTCTCCTGGTTGCTGCTGAAGGCAAACAGATTTTCTGTATTTCATTTTGTGTTTATCTTTTCCTGGCATGCATTCTTGTTATCCCAATAAATGCAAATGACTACACTGATGCCAATATAAACCACATTTTTCAAACCGGTAAAAATATTAAGCATTAACAGATTCAGGTTTGCTGAAGAAAAATAAGTTTCAGGCTGTTGTTGGGTAACATAAGGAAAGGGGTATTTGATACGTCAGAGTACTTGGGGGAAAACCCACAAATGTGATCTTGGACACCTATTATGATTCACATTAGAAAGATTAAACTTTATGGAGATAGTTAATTGTCTATCTATCAAGACAGAAAAAGCCCAAGCTATTTCATCTCAAATGAACACAATTTCCAAATATGTTTGGGTAAAGAAAAGTAGAAATAATTTGAAAAACTATCAAAAGATAATAAACACCACAAGCTTATTTTTTTAGGAAAAAAAAGACAAATGGTTTTGTATCCAAATCAAATTAAACTTGTAATGTCTAGGAGGAAAAGATCTGTCTGTTGTTTTAAAAACAGCCTCAGAGGGTCATATTCAAGAAGTCCAAGTTTAAATAATTTAAATTTCATTCATTTGAGAAGAATAATCTACAGTTTTGATGTGGAGTGGTACAAAAGCACATAAAGCATTCAACTCTATTAGTTTAACATGGAACAAATAATAATTCCAAGCCTTCAATAAGATTTGAATTTACTATATGTGTCTAATGGTCTTAAAAAGCCTAATGGAAAATGATAAACCAACATTAATACTTTAATAATACCATAGATCAGAATATATTTAACCTTTCTTTCTCAGATTAAAAGAAAAATAGAAGTGATTTTTTTTTTGCAGTAATAGGGCTTGAACTCAGGGCCTGGGCACTGTCCCTAAGCTCTTTGTGCTCAAGGCTAGTGCTCTACCACTTTGAGCCACAGCTCCATTTCCGGTTTTTGGGTGGTTAATTGTAGATAAGAAACTCATGGGGACTTTTCTGCCTGGGCTGGTTTCAAACTGCGATCCTCAGCTAGGATTTACAAACATGAGCTAAGCTAGAAGTGATTTTATTTAACTGAAATCAAATGAAATGTTTTTTTTTTCTTCTTGGCAATGAAAGCTGCTAGTCATATTTTATATCATGATGCATACACAAAAATATCAAAAGTATAATCTTTGGATCGAAACAAAAACAATGTAAGATTATCATCATTGACACTAGAATTTTCACTTCAGTGAATAGAATTATTAGGTAATCATTTGCTTTTATATTTATATCAGTATCTGCAGCATCCTGCATGGTGATGCCCTCAGCTCCTTTGAATTCTCTTGTGTTTTCTGTATAGATACTGGACCTTCTAAAAAGTTAGAGGTCTTTGGCTGGGTGTCAGTGGCTCACACCTGTAATCCTAGCTACTAAGGAGGCAGAGATCAGAGGATTGAGATTCAAAACCAACCCAAGCAGGAAAGTCTGTGAGACTCTTATCTCCAATAGCCTACCAGAAAACTGGAAGTGATGCGATGGCTCAAGAGTGGTCACCTTGAGCTGAAGAGCGCAGGGACACCGCCTGGGCCGAGTTCAAGCCCCATGACCAACAAAAGAAAAAAGAAAAAATTTAAAAAGTTAGGTCTCATCATCGAAGTTTCTTAACACGAGAAAGGAGAGGAGCATTTTCTGAACATTTATGCAGAAAGGTAGAAACTGCAGCTGTTGGGTTTGCTTTCATGTCTAGCCCCTATGACATCACACAAACATCATGTTTCTAATGATATTCCTCTTATGCACAGAACAGTGTGTTTTATTTCTAACATACTCTAAACTCAAAGACAAAATGCAAAGGAGGCCATTTTTGCACACTCATTACTGATACAGCAGTAGGATCAGGCTTTAGGACATCTACATGCTTTCATGTCTGACATGTTTAGCAAAGGCTGACACTTGAAAGCAACCAATAAGACCTAGGCAGTAATAATTCAAATGGAAAGATAATCACAAAAACTATGCCAAATGTCTTTCTTTAAAACGTGAAAAAGCATTACATGAATGTCTCACTGCAATAAGCGAATGGTTACCTTGTAGGTTGCCTATTACAATATTCAAGAGGATGCTATTGATGTGCTGAGTTCAAGAATTATTGAAGTTTCAGTTGGACAACAACCATATTCAAAAAACTGACACAATCCCATAAGGGCAGTTTTTGCTGTGATGTATGCAAATGACCTATCACATCACTTTGCATTAAATAGAACTGGCTAAGAAAAAAAAGGAAGAGAAAAATGAGGGAAGGGGTAACAAGTTTGACATGAAATGTACTTATTACTTATGTAATTGTAACCCCTCTGTACAGTACCTTGATAATTAAAAAAAGAAAAGAAAAGAGTTAAAGAAATAGAAGTTCAATCCTCATGTAACTTTTAGGGAAAAAGTCACCCCATTGCTTAATAATTCTCTATCCATAAATCTGCCCCATTCTTCTGAGGCAGAAAAGATTAAATTCATACGAATTATTTTCGAACTTTAGTAAAAAGTTAGAAACTGTAGCTGTCATTGAGACACACGCTTTCAGAAAAACAAAAACAACCGAAACACAAACAGAATCAGAAAACCTTACTAGGAGTAAATGCTGTAAAAATTTGCATTTCAGAGAAGAAATAATGCTTTTATATTCAGCTTAAATAATATACTGTTACATTTGTACTCAATTTAAATGTGTTGTAACTTTATTCTTTACCAAAAATGAACATTTAAAGTGCAACAAATAGGAGCAACATTTTTTTTTTTTAGAAAACATAGCTAATGATTGCCCTTTCTTGACAGGAATATTCCTCAAAGAGAGCATATGAAAACTAGATATCCTGATGCCCGCATATGGCATGCCGCAGTGAGATCAGATGTCCTTCTCCCCACCCTCCGAAGAGTAAGTGATACATGCTTCCTTTGAGTCAGACCTCAGCCTTGCCTTTCTCCAATTCATTCTCTGAGTAGCCTGTTCAGGGCTACTTAGGACCTCCGGAGACTGAGACAATCCATGGAGGCAAAGTGAGAGGTGAACAAAAGAAGTTTATTTACACTATTTACAACATAAAGGGGTCCTGTGACTACCTTGTCCTGGGCTAGATACCCAGAACCAAGGGCAGCCTCAACCACCAAACCTCCAAGCCTCCAATAGGCAGCTCTCACCACCCCCACCCCACTTTTGTTGGTCTGCAAACCTCCAATCCTCAGACCTCCAAAGCTCCAAAGTTCCACATGTCCAAAGGAGAAGGCTTTTCCCTTTCTCCCCTTCCTCCTTCTCTGCAGGCCTCTCCATTCTCCACAGGCCTGCCCTGCTCCTGGAGGCGCCTCTCCACAGGCCTTTCTAGAGGGAGGCCCCAAATGGCCTCCAGATGAGGTCCACTAGGTCCCAAATGGCCCTTTGAAGAGGCCCCAAATGGCCTCTCGAGGCTTGCCCTGCCCTGCTCTGCTCCAGCAGGCTTTCCCCTATTCTCTCCTCTCCTCTACTCCCCTCAGAACTCTGGTTTTTCCCTTAGTCTCTTCTCCTCAGGACTCCCCGTCTCCTCTGGACTGTTTTCCCCCTAACCTCCCTCTTGGGGCCTTATAGCAAGCAGCCTATAGATACCCTGATAGGCTGAGCCCCTCCCCCACGAATGGTTTCAAAGGGCCATTCATGCTCCTCCCCCATGCTGCCCCCTGTCCAATCCCAATAGGCAGCTCACCACGTGGGGCTCGACACTCCGCCCCCTCCAGTAGCACGCCCCGCCCCCTTTTGGTGGCATGTCCCACCCCCTTCTGGCTGCATGACCTGTGTGGCAGTGATGTCAGCCCCTCAATGCCCTGCTCTGTCTGGGAGGCTACGTGACCCACTCCCTCCAGCAGGCTGGACCATGGGGCCACGCTGACTATTGGGCCCCGCTGATTATCGGGCCCCCACAGGTTATTACAGGCTCATCTTATTTTACAGGGCTACATTACACAGTCACATTTACTGACATTTTCATCCTTAGCTATACAAAGATCAACTTCTATCAGTAGTAGAGAGCAAGTATGAGGTACAATGAGAAAAGAACAGAGACAAACAGAAATGATTTTTTTCTACTTAGCTGATGTAAGTTAACTAGCTCTACTTTACTCTCCAGAAACATTCAGCTGTAACAATAGCCTATCTCCCATCTTGTTTTCTGGAGGACACATTTTATAAAGTATTTCTAGGGAGAGTTACTGTTTGTTAGTCTTCTTCCCTGAAACTGAGTGTGAGAGATGAAGAACGAAGGCAGTCCCCTTGGAGCATGTCAGAACTATAAGTAGCTACTGAATAAAATCCTAATTCGATTTGATTTTGAGAGAGCCACAAGTGGCTTTAGTATTGATTTGTGGACAGGCAGGTGTTCTCTCACTGGGTGGGGTGAAATCTTCATCTCTATTTCCAGGAACAAACTTATAGACTTCACTTGTAAATTAGGAACAACATCACTGATGTTACACGAATATTGTAAGGATGGAAAATGATGTACTTAAAACAAGTGATTCGATGGCTAGCATTAATCAGCATTCAACAAGCAGTAAGTAACCCTCATTGATTATGAAATTGTATTCTTGCCTTTTGTGAGTGTGGTTATTATAAACTATTCTGAAAAAGGGAGAATGTTATTTATCTCAGCCGTTATTGATCCAAGATTTGTGCAGGGCAAGGTGTTGGCAGGTGTGGTTTGAAATGAGACAATTCCTGTCCCCAATCCATCAGTCTTAATGACTAAGTCTGGAGGTGTAGTTAAACCTACTGCTTCTTCAAGCAAGTGTGAAATTCACAATAACCCCTTAATTGTCCTCCAAAATCCCAGTTGTTGGTAAGAAATTGTAATAGATTGAGAGGTGAAAAATACCCACAGCAGAACCTATTACCCAGGTTGTACTTTAGAAATGTCATTGAGCAGC